AATATGTGACACATTTCAAAGGTAAATAGTATATTACCAGGTATAAAAAATAGAATAAATTAATATTTAGCTATAGTTTAGTATTACAGATAATGTTTGATATAATTGTAATATCATATATATATCAATAAATAATTGGTATCTAATGCCTGTTCTATTATAAAATAAAATAAAATAAATACAGTATAACAAGTCATGTATATTTTTTTTTATTTGTTTTGTGCAATAAGAAAAATTGATATGTTTCAAAATAAATATTTAAATTTGACAAAATGTTATTATTATATATATTAGTTTATCAATCTTATATTTTAAATAATTACAATATGCAATATTAAAATTTACAACATATTGTATATAAAATAATATCTTTTAATTATTATTTTATTAAATCTATTAAATAATAATAAAGATTCGTTATAATATTGAAATTTAATATTTTGTAAATACCGAATAATTCTAGCGAAATTGTAAACACCGAATATTATTCAAATCATACTGTATATAATTGGAATATTAAAAAACAAAAAATTTCCTGTTATAGTAGTATTTATCAACAATTGGCTAGATTTTAGGAAATCGTGTAACGCTAGCTTGTGATATGAGCACATACGGACTTTTGTTCCATTCTTTCCATATCCGCACCCAAACATTCATCCGTTCAAGAGCAACAGACGCGAATTCGATAAATTAAGGTGAATAAAAATAATTATTTCTGATTATTTTAACCTTCGCAGCCGTAATATAATATTATTTATTATATTTAACTCGTTATTTTTGGAATGTTAGGGTGTTGTGTTTGACGCGTAATTTTGTAACGAGTTTTATTACATCGTTTCCAGTCTGCAGGAACAGTAAAAGATGAGCAGTGGAACACGTAACATAACAAATGATTCTGATAAAGAAAATATGATGGATGTGAACGAACGTAATCAAATGGAGGAGGACACCTCCAGCTACTTTGACAAAAAAACTTATGATCCTGACCAGGACAAGGATGAAAAGCGATGGTTACGCAGAGAATATAGAACTCTAATAACCGAAACTGAAGGTACTTGTTTTTTATAGTATCCTACATTGAATCGTTCAATGTATTGCAGAGAAGATCATTTGTAATAGTCTGTTTCTTTATGTGCGATGTTGAATAAACATCCAGTCAATAATATAATAGTGTTAATTTAATTTTGCTTATGTCATAGAAAGGAGGCAAGACTACTTAAGGTCGGAATCAAATGGCCTTTCGCAAAACATAGTAAAGGCAAATGAATTGGTTCAAAAAGGTAACTAAAGAATATATCTACTACTGATAGCTCATAAATACAACATACTGATTTTGTCTTATCAACCACCTTTCATATATATGACCAGTTAAAAATACGCACGAAGCCACCCTTGATTCGCGTCTTCTCGTGCTAACTAGTGATTTAGGCGTTCAAAAGGCACGTCTTATGAAATTGGATAGTAATATGTTTGACGCAGATGATTATATATCAAAGTTAATTACTTTGATGGGTGGCAGACAAGTTAGCGACGAAGAAGAGCCAACATTAAATTGGAAGGAAGTTGGAGAAATCGCTTCTCATTATACTCAACGTGTTCCTACGGTGGACTTTATGTAACTATTGATTTTGTTAAGATTATGTAAGTATTTATTTATTTGAATTAATGTTCATTGACTTTTAAGGCTTGGTCCACTTTCTATCGAGCAAAAAGAACGTAAATCAGGGATCCGACAGAACTTGGTAAAGGATAAAAAAGAAATGACGATGCCTAAGCAGGTAAAGTTGGTTTTCTCTATTTGTGATATCATTTTAAACTAAATTGTTTATATCATAAATTGCTTCATAAATATTTATGTAGTTGGGTGAAAAGGACATCGAAAGACAAGAAAATGAAACGACGAGAAATGTTATTATGATTTGGGAAATTCTTAATGAGAAACAGCCCATAAATTTTTTTGAATTTGTCATTAACCCAGAATCATTTGGGCAAACCGTAGAAAATATATTCTATTTGTCATTCTTGGTACGCGATGGGAAAGTGTCTATCGATGATGATGAAGGTCAACCCATTTTGTGTAGGTATTCTCAACATCTTAATATTTGTTTGCTATAGAAATTTTTGCAAAACTTCGGTTTTTTTTTTTGAAATATAGCATTATGCGAACCTCCTACTGCTGAAGATTATAATAATGGACTATTAAAGAAACAACTTATCATGGGGATAGATATGAATACGTGGAGGGTATGATCTCTATTACGTTTCTTTAATATTTATGTTCTAAATGCATGTACATATATTAAATTATTTATTCTTTAATAAAAAGGAATTGATCGAAGTATATGACATTAGACAAACTGCAATTCCAACGCGGAAATCCCGTGAAAAGACCACTGGAAAGTGGTATGGTTAAATGATTAGATGGTTGGTATGATACGAACTGATTGAACAATCACATAGTCGGACTAAAGAACATTGTATTTTTTTTTTCAGTTTATGCACCATTCCCACGCCTTACCCTTTCCCGAAAATAAATCCTCCATTAATTACTGTAAATAATTTTTTTTTTTTTTTATACAATATACATATAAACAGATATATTGAACTAAACATATACTGGCTATGGAAATCGAAAAGATATTTTTTCTTTTTTTCATCAGAAACCTATTATTTTTATTGCTTTGCACCTTAATTTTGCTTAAATATCATGTACCCGATAAAAACTTTTATACAAGCTAGTAAATAAATATTTGTTGTGAATACAATATGGAAGATTGAAGAGAAAGAAGATTTGGGGCAATAAAGGATTTGCGCAAGATAATATTATAAGTGAATGGTCTAAGTATTGATTCTAACTTAAAATGGCAATAGCTTTTGTTTCAAACGTGGATTCACAAAACCTGTAATCTGAAACAAATACTGTATACTGTATATAAAGTACATTTATTTAAAGTAACCAGATATAAATGTTTTTATAAAATGTAAATTAGCCAATTACTAGTAATGTTATTAATTGCATTATTGCCAGGATCTATGAATTATATGATTGATATTTTTGATTTTATAATTAAATTTTGTTTGATTATAATAAATAATAAATCTTTTTTTTTTGAAGGAATAGGCAGTTCTCACATTTTATTTTTATTATAATTTTAGACTTGCAATTACAAGATTTATAATCCATAACATGATATATATCTTTCTTTGCTAAGAAGAATTTAATGCAAGGTTTACAACTATAATCCATTTATCTAAACTTCTTTGCATTATTCAAGAATATAAAAAAAAAAGTTTAAAATATATATTATGTCTTGAATAGTATCTAGCTATTTAAAGAATTTTGATTATCTAATCATATAAAGATACTGCAACTATTATACTGTATATAGGTTGGCCTTCAAGTTATAACTAGAATTGATATACTTGCTTTTCAAATGTGACTTAATATATAACAAATAGAACAAATATTAGTTTCAAATTATATTAAACTCAAACCATATCAAAATAAAGTCAGTTTTTTATTATTTGCATCTAATATTGACTCTTTATTTAAACCTATCACTAGAATTAAAGACTAAAGAGTAGCAACTAACTTTATTACTAAAACAATCTTGAAATTGTATTAACTTTTTTATCATTTGTATTTAGTATTAACTTTTTATTTTTAAATTTATTATTAGAATTATAGACTAGAAGATAGTAATTAATCTTATTGTTAAAATAATTTTGGAATATATGTTTTGATTTTAAGATAATCTAAAAATAAAAAAAAATTTTTTAAATATAAAGTAATAATTTGTTTAAAAAAATATTAAACATGAAGTGAAGTTAGAATTTTCTTATAAATATTATTATTATTGGTTCAAATTAGATTATTCAGTGCCAAATTATAGCTGATTAAATTTAAACTTATTAATAAAAATTTATATTGAAGTTTTGTTGTTTGGTTTAATTTATGCTATTCAGTATTTAAAAAATACACAATAATTTGGCAAAAAAAAATAGAATATTTAGCAAAAAAATAATTATTTGACAATAAAATCACTTGGCAATAAAATCATTTGAAAATAAAATAATTAGCCAATAAAAGCATTTGGCAAAAAAATCATTTGACAAAAAAATATTTTCGTTAAAAAATATTTGGCAATAAAGTTACAATATTCTATAATAAAAATTATAACCTTTGGAATAAATTTTTATTATTTAATTATAAAGTTGACAAAATCATTTAATATTATATATTTCAGTAAAATCAATTGTATATTTTCAATAAAAAAATTACATTTGTAATGATATTCAACAAAATTTAATTAATACTTGATAAATTTATTAAAAATATAAAAAATATAAAATTGGAAATAATTATTTGCTAGTTATTCATTAATTATTTGCTAATTATTCATTAATTAATTATTTAGCAATTGTTTGCTTATTATTCACTAATTATTCACTTATTATTTATTAAATTTCTCCTTCATTTCTTTATTCAAATCTTTTTGTTTATAATTGTCTTTTTCTTTTGCTGATTTCACCATGGCCCTTGTAACTCTTAAAAATTTTATAATACCAAATTTTCTTTGCTTTGAAGTGCTTTTTTGTAGTTTTTATACTTTTTGTATTTCTTGTAATTTTTTTTTAATTTTTTTTTTTTAATATTGCTCCTGAATTTTGCCCATTTGTGTATTTTTTCCAGTTTGATACTTTTCTTCCTTTGAATATATAAATAATTTCTTATAATCAGATATTCTGCATCTTTTATGTTTTTTTGTCAATTGTTTATCTTTTTTACTTTGTTCTATTTCTTGCTCTTTATCCTCTGATTTACAAGTCCAACTTGGCAAGTTTTCCAGTGAAGTTATATTGTAACAATAGATTTGCTATAGTTTTGTTTACAAGTCAATTGAAATGATTAAATTAACTTTGAATATTTATTTAAATTTTTTAATAAATCTTTTAACTATAAAATAATTAGTAATGAATTAATTATTCAATATAAAATTATTTATTAAAACATATCTTATCAAAATACCAACTATATTTATATACATATTTTTCTCTTATTATTATTTTCTAAATCAGTTTCACTTTCTTCAGTCAAATGGACTTTTGGTTCTTTAATTATATTAATCAATTCCTTTCAATATCTTATAATACTTTTGGACTTTTGTTAATAAATAACTATATATTTTTAATTTTTCATGTCTTTTTTTTATTATTTAATAAAAATTAATATAAATAATATAATATAAATATTAATTAATTTTATCTTATTTAATTAACTATTTGTATTCTGTAGAGATGATCTGCAGGTTTTGACTTAATTAAACAAACAGGATCTTAATTCTAATTAATGGACAAGCAATATATCATTTCCATAAATTACATTTAGAGACTTTTTGTCATAAATGGGTGAGCTGGATCAAGGAAATTTATATATGCAATTTTTATTTGTAATGGTTCATCTTGATTTAATAAATAAATAATATCAACCTAATTGAGAGAAAAAAAAATTGACTATTTGTATATAAGCAATAATTGTTTGTATCTAATTTTTCTATTTATATCTTTTAATGTTTTTTTTTTAATAACAATATAAAGTATCTAACCAATCATTTAACTGTTTTTGTGATAAATTAAAATATGAAACCATTAATTTTAATAATTTGGATATTAACTTGCTTAATATTTTTATTTATATTACTTAAATAAACTTTATCTATCTTTAGTTAAAGTTTTTTAGGGATAGTTTTCACCAGAACCTTTATTTCAGCCCTTGCCTTCTTTTTTTTTTCATCTTTAGAAACAGTTTCTAGAGGTTTGACCATTTCTGTTACTTTGTGCTTTTCAAGATCTTTACCTTTTTCAATACTTTTAACTTTTTTTTTGAACTAAATTCTTTGATTCTTTAATATATTTAGCACATTTTCTAAATCTGAAATTATATATTTATTTTCAGTTTCAGGCACATATTTGGATTAATATTTAGATTTGAATTGATATTCAAATTCAAATTAATATTCAGGTTCAGATTGATTTTAAAATTTAGATTAGTTTGAGATTCAAATATTATTTTTGTAATTTCTACAACTACTATTGACTATAATGCTGATTTATATGGTTTTAATTAATTATTTTTTTTTTTTAGATATTCAATATACTTCTTTTACTGATTTGATTTATTAAAAATATTCTATTTATATATTTCATTGTAACTAATTGTGCTTCCAAATTGGCATTTGCTTTTTCTAGTTTATTCACTTTTATACGTAACTTTTCATTTTCTAAATAAATCAACAAATTAGTAAAAGTAGATTTTATAATTCAAAAATAATTTAAATTGTATTTTTTTCTATTTTCTCCTAAGTTCAAGTTACAAACTTCAGTTCAGGAGTCGATACTCGTGCAACTTCAGTTGCTTAGCTGTTAATAATATAAAAGATGATCTTCTTCTAAACAATTTAGTTGTCATTATAGGAATTAAATCTTCAATACTAGATGTTGTTACATAATCTTCTAATATAACAAATTAAAATAAATGTTAATATTCTAAAAAATATTTTGAAAGTTATGAAGAAAATAAATGTTGTAATTACAAAAATTAATTTTGATTAAATTAATAAAAATATTTA